TTGAATGAAAGCAAAAAATGTCGGAAATAGCATCAAATTTTAGAATAAGTTTAGATTTGTTCGAATTGGTCACCTTTGCCGCGAATTATGGCCTTCAAACGGCCTATAAAATCGTCATACGCTTGTTTGTGGTTATCGACACTATGGTATTTTTTCCAATGTCTGCGGCCAAAATGTTTGCGTACCCAAGGCTTTAATACACCCTCCAGAATATTTTCGCGATAATATTCGGCATTTACTCTGATGCCACGGTCGATTAATAAGAGCGGAGAGCGACCATCGTCTGTTATGGTGGCCCACACCATGACCATGGCCGGCGCTTGAGTTCTGGTGGTCAACCGAAGGTGCACATTTTCAGCTGACCTCTTTGACAAGTAAACACGATCATTTTGGTTTGTTTACAAACTGCTGGACAGCGAATGTTTTCTCATCAGAGAAAACCAAATTGGACAGTTCACCACTTTCGGCCAAGTGAAGCAACTCTTTAGCTCCTTTGAGTCTATTTTCTTTCTGTTGCTGTGTAAGTTCTTGCACTTTTTGGAATTTCAATGGCCCTAGCTCATTTTTTAATATTTGTCGAATGGAATATTGCGATTTGTTCAGCTCACGACCCATTTTTCGGCCACCGCGACGCGGGTTTCGACCAAGTCGCTTCTTTACTTTTCGAACCATTTCTGCTGATTTTGCAGTTTTTTTTGTCTCACCCTTATGGTGGAGGGTAAAACAAATATCAGATACCACTTGAAATCTCTCACTTCGTCCGCCCCAATTCGCGAATTAAAAAGTTTCTAAAAATCTTCATTTCCATACAGATTTGTCTGAAAATCCTTATTCAATTGCTCGTTGCAAAGTCTGCAAGGAGCTCCTAGTTTTTCAATTTTTTTTCAATATTATGATGAAGAAATCGGTTATCGTAGTAAAAATGTTTACCCTCTTGCAGTTCTGGGACAGACCACATTTTTGTAAGTATGGGAAATATCTTTAAAATACACGTTGTGTGAATACCATCTTTAAGAACAAAAAATCCCCATACATTCTATAAAACCCTCTGACTATGGTAATTATTTTTGATTTTCTGTTAATTTTGTACAAATTTGGACGTGTGGCTATTAAATTTGCATTGAAATTTGACATTGAATTTCGAATCTCTTTGTCGGTTTGACAATGTTCCAATTGGTGTCTCCCTTTGCAGTAAGCGCCAAAGTTAAAAATAATTAGCAATTTATAATTGAAATACACTTGAAATGAAAACAAAGTACCCAATACAATGAAGTGGACTTCTCCTAACTCGTAATTGAACTTGTACTTGAAATAGTTCATAGAGTAGGCATAATTTGTTGTCGTGCTTTAATTGTTGTTGTCAATTGTGTGCGCTTGCTTTCATTTTTTTGCAAAATTTATTTTTTTTCACTTTTCTTATAATTATCATAGATCGTCAAGTAGATGTTTGACATGTAAATAAGTTTTTGTTGAATCAAATACCAGAAACTGTGAATACATCTGCTGCAGCGGGTTGAAGGAAACAGTGATTCCTATTGTTGAACCTTTCACCGAACAAAGGAGGTAATTGTGTTAGTCCATAATATTAGTAGTCTCTATTCGAAGGTAACTTTCTAAGGAAACATTTCAACAATAACGCGAGTCATAATTGTTATCTCAAATAAAAAATCGCCGGAATGTGAAATTCTATTTGAGAAAATACGAACAATGAGTGCAAGTTATTGCAGAAAAAAGTAGATTAGAAGAAATTTGAATTGTATTTATGTGATGAATGTCACAATGAGCTATGATAATGTCTAAACCAGTGGATATCTGTACGTATTCAGAAGGTTCAATATTGATCAAATGAGCTGCTAACCATAAAATTTAATTTGATATTTTTTCTCCGCAGCATCCTGTAAACTCCTAGCAACCCACTGCTTAAAATTTTTTGATTTTTAGAAAATTACTCGCACATTTTGCAACGAAACTTCCATATTTTGTCGTTGAAAACCAAAGAATTGACTCTGCTAACCCAAAAAAAGCTCAAAAATCATAAGAATTCATCGAGAATTCAAAAAAGATTTGCTATGAAGAATACTTCGTGCCCTCTGGAGTAATACTGGGATGACTTTATATTTTCTGATATGACAAAAGTCTTAAAAAAGTTTAAAACCAGTTCGTCCTCCAAGAGGTGGAACTGTATTCAAACAGAATGGGTAAAATGTATTTAAATCTGAGACGTATGTCACTGTAATTGATCTTCTAGAGCGAGATCCTTATACAAATTAATAATAAAATTAACAATTGTTGCAAATTGTTACTGAAAGTATGTACGGACAAATGGTTTTGTATTGACTAATCTGCTGATTGGTTGGATGTTTTTGCAACATTTACTTTTACAGTTTTCTTCCAAAAAAACTATCTTACTCTCTCTGAAAGAAGTTGCTAGACAACGAAATGAGATGGCAATGGAAGCTCAAATTGATCAAACAAATGCACATAATATACCAGCGAAGTTTAGTGGAAGGTGTAACGTGATGTGATGGGTTCATATCACTGGTTCAATCTCTTGAATTCTGATGAAGTCGTACAAAATCCAATATTTTTTTTATTTAGCGATGTCTGTCCGTCCATCTGGCCGGTGCGCACGATAACTCTCGAAGGGAGTATCCAATTTGATTCAAACTTGGTAAATCGTAATATTATTGTCAAACTTAGATGGAGTTCGGAGATGGGCAATATCAGTCCACCTCCCCCACAAAATGTCAATTTTTTTAAATAAAATATAATTACTGCACAGAAAGATAAAGGATGATCCGATTTTGCTCCAACTTTGCAAATCCTTGTAAATAAAAAAATTTAAATAATTATAACTCTTATAAAATGCGATGTAAGTGTTCGATATATATATATATATATATATATATATATATATATAAGAAAGCGAAATAAGCATCCAACTGTCTTCAAATAAATATTTCTTTCAAGCACAAACCTGATATGGATATGGAATTTATAATTTCGTATAAAATTAAATATAAATGTTCGATTATCTTGTAATTTTTCCCATACCAATATTTCTACCAAATATAGGTCCACGTCTTCGTATAGCCCCCATATAACTGTACCTCCCGATATGCGGTATTTTGATAATTTTAGCGACATTATTTGCCGGAATTGTTTCCAAATTGGTATTTAACGTTCGCAACTGATACTACGGTTTAAGACAGAAAATGGACTATGTAGGTCCACGTCTTGGTTTAGCCCCCATATAACGGTACCTCCCGATATTCGGTATTTTTACGATTTTAGCGACATTTTTTATCGGAATTGTTTCAAATTTGGTATTTGAAGTTGGTAATATATACTACAGTACAAAACAGAAAATGGGCCATGTAGGTCCACGTCTTCATATAGCCCCCATATAACGGTACCCCCCGATATTCGGTATTTTGATGATTTTAGCCATATTACTTACCGGAAATATATCAAATTTGGTATTTGTATTTCGTTACAGATACTACGGTTTAAGACAGAAAATGGTCCATGTAGGTCCACGTCTTCGTATATGCGGTATTTTGATGATTTTGCGACATTATTTACCGGATTTGTTTCCAAATTGGTATTTAAAGTTCGTAACAGATACTACGGCTTAAGACAAAAAATGGGCTATGTAGGTCTACGTCTTCGTATATCCCCCATATAACGGTACCTCCCTATATTCTATATCTTGATGATTTTACCTAACTATAAACAGATTTTTTTTTTCAAGTTTCGCATTTGTATATTGTAATAGCTTTTGACAAAAGTTGCCTACGCAGGTCCACGTCGTCGTATAAACCCTAACTTACTTGTTAAAATTCTACTTGGAATTCCAATATAGCTCAGAATCGGAGATACCTCCCAAAAATGTAGGTTTTGAATGCACATATATATTGATGTGTTATAGATACTCGCTTTTAACTAGATTGAAAAACGTAAATCTGAAAAAAAGCATTGATGAACAAATGTGTAAGACAATCCAAACATAGTGGCCTTAAATAGAAATATCATACTACAAGCTGCAGGACGACAACGTAAGTAATAACACAATGGTTATTAATTTTTCAATATTTTAAGTTCACTAATTTTTAAAGTATGCAGGAAGACACTATTTAATTAACATCGAATATTGTTTTAGCAAAACAACCTCGTTTTGTAATTCAAATCAATATACTTCTAGAATAACATCAATATTTGCACACGCTCAGGTGTTAGTTGATGTTTTTGCATTCAAATGAAAGTGTAAATAAATATGTGGTGTTTATCAGTCTTACGACCATTCAGAGCAAATATCAAATCTTTTAAAGTAGTTCTCCTAAAGTGATTTGTTTCTGTTAAGAATGTCGTTTAGATTATATTTTTATTGTTGCAGTTGACATGCGTATCCGCATGGTTATGATCTACAAATTTATTTTGATTGCTAAAGATAAGCATATTTTAGTGGGAGATTTTGTGGAAGGTCTTGGTTAAAGTCAAGGTAGTTCAAATTGCGATACTGTTAACTACTTTATCCATTAGGTAGGTTGTTTTGCATTAGAAACATTTTTGGATACAGCTAATATTTTTAGAATGTTTGTTCAGCTAAAAAGTTTTTTTATGAAAATGATTCAAAGCACTAGTGGGTTGTCCTTGCATTGAAATAGTTTCAAGATTATTATTCTTAATTTGTATGTGGTCCCACGGACTCAACCTTTGCTCTTTTCTAATGATTCCCTGAGAGATAAATGAGCAAATTCATACCACATTTTATGAACAAAAATTGCGAGGCGGCTTATTCTGGATTTAATATGCATGCATGTATGTACCTTCGTATTTATCACTTTCAAGGCAATGAAATACCAAGAAAAAACTGATATGATTGCTCTTTTAATTTGATGTTATCTTTTTTTTTGTTTACTGTGGATATGATGATTATTTATAGGATACCAAGTGTTTGTCTTTTCTATACGTATGTGTTTTTGTTTTCATTTACTTGCCATTTTCACGAGGATGTCTATGTTTGGGGTCGTGCATCTCTTTGAATTCAACAATGATAGGACTATCTACAGATTGGTGCTGGGTGTCTTCCTTATCATCATGATGATACTCGTGAGATCTGTTTGCTTTTTGATTCTTAGTTCTCTGTTCTGGAGCCAACTGCGTTTCATCTCCATCGTCATCTGAGCCCAATTTTTTAGTTTGTAAATCCATATATGACTTGATAGCGTCTTCGTTGGCATTATTCGATGACTTTGTTTTATGCTCGTCAACAGTGTGCGATGGTTCAAATTCTAAGTGTCCTAAGCCCAGGTTATACATTAAATGTTCCAGACCCTGTAATTATATGGAATGGAAAGGAATTATTAGATGATTAATAAACATTTTAAGTTTTGCTTCATTTGTTTGTAACAGGGAGAAGGAAGCGAGATAGAACCATACTTACTTTTGGGGATCTTCATAGAATTACTTTCTGAGTCGATTTATGCATGTCAGTCCATCTGTCCATGCATCTTGTGAATAAAATGCAGGTCGAATTTATTATCCGATTGAAATGAAATTTTCCAAACAATATTTGTTTTGCCGAAGGACGAGCCCTATTGAAATTAGTGATAAACGGATCAGATTAAGATACACATAGCTCCCATAAATCTTCAATTGTATAGCCAATATAAGTCCAAATGACCTGAATTTTGGCACATCCAACCGAATTTAGTCTAGAAGCAAGTACATGGAATTCGGAGAAAATCGGTTCATATATAGCTATAGCTCCAATATAAATATTTCATCCGATTTGGTGTTTAAGTCACTCACATGCGTAATAAGCACTTCACAACAATGATATTTGTTACCATTTCGTCTGTCCGTCCGTCTGTCAATGTATTCTTGTGAGCAAAATGCAGGTCGCATTTAGTATCCGATTGAGATGAAATTTGGCCAAAGGACGAACCCTATTGCTATTGGTGATAATCGGATCAGATTAGATATAGCTCCCATATATCTGCAAACGATTTCGGGTTAATTGTGCACCAAATGGTCAATATAAGTCCAAATTACCTGAAATTTTGGCACTTCCAAGCGTCTAGAAACATGTACATCGAATTCGGAGAAAATCGGTTCAGATATAGCTCCCATATATATGTTTCATATATGATACTTGGGATCAATTATCTTATAGGGCTTGGGAATACCTATTCCAAATTTTATCGAGATCGGCTAAGGTTTGGATATAGCTGCTAAATATCCTTAATCCGATTTTAGGTTTATTGGGCAAATGATGACGTACGTTTTTTTTTTAAATATAATCCTTCTCATGTACTCTATAGCAATGTTATTTAGTATAAAAGATTAAAATGTCTCCGTCAAATTTAGTGAAAATCGCTTCAGAATTGGATATGCCTCACATATATTAGTTCCCCCTGGAACCAAATAATATCTGCTCTAAAGCCAAAGGTTGATAGGAGGTATAATATACATTAAATAAATTCTTTTGTTATGGGAGCTCTATTAAATATAATAGTGGTGTAGGGTATCATATAGTCGAATTTAACTTTTCCTTACTGGATTTTATTGTATATTTGTGTTAAATGTAATCCTTGATGATTTAAATTTCGTTTTTAAATATTTAAAAACTACCTTATATATCCCAAAGCAAAAGGAATTTAAAGTCAACCGTTACCTTATCTTGGCAGTTTTAACTGGGAAATCGGCTCTACTTCTTTGATCAGCAGAAAGATTTATGTTGACTGTAGCGTTAATAGTATCTGCTAATATTCTGACAGAGACAATGCTTAATGACGCATGCGTAAACTATTCACAACCTTATTGTTTACACTGTACATCAATTACTTAATTAATGATTTTTCAAAACAATATCTTGACATATGTGACAAGATATTATGCCAACAATGTAAGCATTTATTTACATATTTAGTTATGCAAACTGTTCACGTTCTAAATCATTTTTTGCATGTGTGTTTATTTACATGATTAATTATTAGCATTTTGCACAGTTACTGAAATCACAATACAAAGTCAAAGGAAACGAATACGATTTCTCTTCCATGGTCCAAGCATGAATGCAGTGTAGAAAATGTTAACCGTAACGCATCACTGCTCAATTGCACGATTGTTTATTTTGCAATTCTTTTGTTGGTTTGTAATTCTAGACAAAACAATTTGTTATGAAATAATTTTGACTATGTTTTCTATAAACATGATTTACGAAAGATATTGAGTTTCACACAAAATTTACGAGTATTAGAAAATAAGTTGCCCTCAAATACATCGAATATACCATGGTACAATAAGGAGGTAGAACAGCCTCGTAGAACTACAGAAATACAGTCCTGAGACTATGCCCGCTTCCTGTTAGAATTATTCAAAATTATAAGCAACGAGTTGTTTTCATTTATTTGATATTTTTTGTTCACTTCTAAATTGTGTCAAATAGCGCGAAAGATAAATGAAATGCCTGGATGTTCTCTTAAAAATATGATCCTAAGTGTTCAATGTTTCAATTCCATGGAAAATCTTGTTAATATCATTAATGCGCGCCCCATAATTTAAATCGGGCTCACTTAGAAAAAATTGTAATCAGCTGGGAGCTCTACCTTACCTTTTTATTGTACCATAGAATATACATACAAGTTATGAAGTAAATTAGTTAACAAACTAAGACTTTGTTAACAATTAAACCCAGCAGTGCTCGTTCATTATTTATTTCATGAAAATATATCAAGACGATCGAATTCTCCGATTTAAGATTACTTTGCAATCTTTTGGCTTTACAGGGTGATATGAAAAAACCGCAACTAAACTCAGACTGCTGTCATTTCTACACCACTCGTCCGAAAGCTGTTAAAATTATTCCAGTGACAGCTCATTATATTGTTTACAAGCGTACAAAAGCATTTTGGCGAGAATTTTCCAGAAAAAAAGTTATTCGTGATGGAATTCAAGCGTTTTAGTGTGATTTCTTTATATTTGGCTTGAAAATCACAAGTGGCTATCGTTAGAGCACTCCAGAGGATATATCTTTTGTGTCCCGTACCCTCGCAGAAGTTCACAAATGTGAACAAACACTTATTTTTCAACAACAATGTTCTCCATATAATTTTTTTTTCATAAATCTGGCTGTGTATATATACGTAAACAAACATCAGCTGGGCGGCATTTTTATCCCCTTATGTATGTATCCATGGTAAAAGAATGCAGGTAGATGCATCAACGCTTGAAAAGAAAACTTACATATTTTTTCCAAAATGAGTGGTATTTTATAGGTTATCGTACTCCACGTTATGAGGAGGATGTTAGATAAGCATTTTTTAAAAACTTGTTCAAATTGCAATAATTTTTCATTCAAAACTTTTAATTCCGAAATTGGTTTGACAGTTCCATGGTAAAAGAATACAGGTAGATGCATCAAGCTTGGGAACATTGATATGTCAAAAAATTTTTTAAATGTTTTTTTTTTTTCTAAAATAAGTAGATTTTAATATTTTTTATACCATCCCAATCGGAGATTGTTGTGATATGCATTTTTTAAACATTTTTACACACTTCAATAATTTTTCAATTAAAATTTTCAATGTCAAAATTGGTTTAACATTTCATTGTCCCACCAGCTGTGTCGATTAGACTACCTATATTCTTCTACCATGGGCAGTTCATTGTCCCAACAGCTGCGTTGATGACATGTGTATATCTAAATAGACAAGATCTAAATACACTGGATCTAAAAAAAAACAGTGGGTTAATCTTCAATAATATAAATGCGCTTTTAGAATGATTATGAATGACTTGAGTTTTTTAGAAATTATTTTGGCGTTAGTCCCATTTACTGTATGCCATAGACGCAAATACCATTAAATATCTAAAATTTGAATTACCTTTTTAAATTTCGTCACTTTTACGTGTTATTTATACGAATGAATGTCAGGTCATGAAAAGACAACTTCCGTTAAATCATCTTAATCAGTGTTTGTCACACTCTGATACTTCAACAAAAGATGTTTACATTCTGTGTACAGCGAGCCCTAGGAACATTCAACAGTCATACAGAAGAACAATTATATGCAAATTAGAAAACATAGACGTCAATCACACTAGAATAGAACAGGAAGGAAGCTGTTTATGTTGTACATTTTCCTTTTTTGATTTAGAGCTGCCATAGCTCGCATAAATAATCAAATGAAGCGATATATTTTCTTTACCAAACAATGCGAGTGGTTAATTAATACATAATTAATTAATCGATTGCAGTAATTAATAAAAAAAACTTACATTTTCAAATTCGATGGTAAATGGCGTAATTACTTTGTATGATTTGGAAATTTTGGCAAACAATCAAAACTAAATTATTATCGCCACAATTTCGAAGTCCAATAAAAAAAGCTATTTCCATTTACAGGGTTGATTTCGTTTTTGGAAAAAAAAACAATATTGTGAGGCATTTTGTAACGTGTAGCATGTCTGGTGCAAAAAAAAAAAAATACAAATCATTCATTTGTATATGAATATGTAGATATATATGCATATACATACATGTGACGTTTCCTATGTTGGTAAGATAGATGTAATAACATGTTAAAACTGTGTATTTTGGTAGATCGGTGAAAAAAGCAATGCAAAGGGGGAATATGTATTGAAAACACTCATTGTTGAATTGAATTCTAAATAAAAATTGCGTCATTAGTTCGTTCAACTCTATAATATAACTGTACCTCCAGTTATTCTGATGATAAGTGTTACACTTTTGGAGTTCGTACTATTTTTCTCTGAAAAAAAAATATGTATTTTTTTCAATATGTACAGTAACTCTGCCCACAGGACCATGGACGGTTCCAAAAATTTCTATACATGACTACTCTAAGGCCTCTAATTTACCAAAGTCCTAATATAGCTGAACCTACCGATATTCGGTATTTAGGTGATTTGTGTCCCATTGGAAATTTGGTATTTAGTGTTCGTAACAGATATCATATCCTATGATAAAAAAATTACCTATACAGGTCAACATCTTCGTATATTTCCTATACAATGGAACCATCTGATATTCGGTATTTTTCTGATTTTAGACAATTTTTTTAACGGAATTATCAAAAAATTTAGACACCGCATTTCTGGCATATATTTGGTTATATAAGTTTACATTTTCGTATTGCCTCCATATAACGATACCACCAGATATTCGGTATTTTAAAAATTGTTGCATTATTTTTTTTTTCAACGCGATTCTTTTAAATTTTGAAAGTTCCTTCAAAATTGGGAATTGAAATTCCACGCGGCCGAACGTAGCCGTTTTTTACTTGTTAATTTTGCAATGATTATAAGTA